GGGAACCCCTAACGTCAACCGACACCCCGCGCTCTCGTTAGACCGCTCCTCGAAATAAACAACGGTGTCTACCGGCGCCCTATGCTCTCGGTAGACATCTGACCACCGCAAAGAAGAAGATACTCACTCTGCCGCTGCGCAGAATACCACAATAAAGTTGTCTACCTCACCAGCTCTACCAGGCATGGCGAGAAAGCAGGTATGCATTCTACACACCGCCGTCTTCTGACATCGTGGCACCGCTACCACCCTCGGCCGTCGCAGAGAGCAACCCCAAAGCAGTCTGGCCGCATGCCGTTATCCATGGCATGTCTGGCACGAGATATCCCACTCCGTCATCTAACATCGCTGCTGGCCGCTTCTGTTTACAGAAAGCCAACGAAGAACAGGGAAAACCGAACGAGACGAACGCTGTCGCGGATGCACGTATGCATGTTCGATCGACCCTCCGAGTGCTACGCCAAGCACACACCTTGCAACGACCACCAGGCAGCCTGTTCATATCCATGCTACACTCAATCACGCGCAATGCCCCCTTGAGCGGTCCGGTGTGATATGGGTGCGCCCTACTTACCAAGAATTTGAAGAAAAAACATGCCGTGGTAGTGCAACCCCCCCGCCACGCTACGTACTTCATACACCTCGGTTGGAACGAGTGGCGCATATCCATCTCCTCAGTAAAAACAATTGTACTCCCACTCGGCCATCGGTACCCCCTCACATCCCACGACGGGCTGTTATTTGGTTCAGCCGGGCTCACGACGAGCTGGAAATAAAACATGATGTTGTACACACACGCCCCCCGGCCCCTCCGCCCTCCACCCCACTGTAGCACACACATCCACTACGAGTGCAAAACATCATCTCCTTCCGTCAACAAAATTTTACCCCCACTCGACCGGTAGTGGCCTCACAATTCGCGATCTGCTACTACTTGGTTCAGCCCGACTCACGAAGAAGTGATGACAAAACATGACGAAGTTGTACACACACGCCCGCCCCCCTCGCTACCTTGTGCACCTCCTCCTGGAGCGAGTGGAAAACGTCCTTTCTTCGTAAAACACAAAATGTGCGCCAACTCGGGCATCGGTACTCCCTCGCATCCCGCGATCTGCTGTTACTTGGTTCAGCCCGGCTCACGGAGAAGTGGGGATGAACCATGACGAAGTTGTACACATACGCCCGCCCCCCTGGCTACTGGTACACATCCTCCTGGAGCGCGTGGAAAATGTCGCTCTCCTTCATAAACAAAACTGCGTTCCCACCCGGAAATCGGCACTCCCTCACATCCCGCGACCTGCTGTTACTTGGTTCAGCCCGGCTCACGGAGAAGTGGGGATGAACCATGACGAAGTTGTGCACATACGCCCGCCCCCCTCCTGGAGCGCGTGGAACGTGTCGCTCTCCTTCATAAACAAAACTGCGTTCCCACTCGGAAATCGGCACTCCCTCACATCCCGTGAGTTGCTTTTGTTTTGTTCAGCCCGGCTCACGAAGAAATGGAGACAAAAACATGCCGAATTTTTACAAACACGCGCCATCATCCGACGTGTACTGTACCACACACCTCCCCGGAACGAGTGGCAAACACCCATCTCGTCCGTGCTCCCACTCGTGCATGGGTCCTCTCGCATCCGGCGACCTGCTGCTATTTGAATCAACCTGGCTCACGAAGTGGGAATAAAACATGACGAAGATATACACATACACCCCCCTCGGCCCTCCCGCCCTCCACGCCACTGAAGCATACACATCCTCCTGTCACGAGTGGCGAACATTCCCTCGGTAAACAAAATTGTACCCCTACTCGCGCTTTAGTCTCCTTGTACAGTCCGTAGCCTACTGTCATTTGGGTCAGCTCGGCTCACGAAGAAGTGGCGATAAAACATGACGAAGGTATACACATCCCCCCCCCCCGACCCTCCCGCCCTCCACGCCACTGTAGCACACACATCCTCCTGGAACGAATGGATAAACGTCCTTCTCCTCCGCAAACATAAATGTACTCTCACTCGGCCATCGATACCCCCTCACATGCCGCGACCTGCTCTTGTTTGGTTCAGCCCGGCTCACGAAGAATAGAGACAAAACATGGCGATGTTATACAAACGCCCTCGCCCTCACGCTAACGTACCACACATTCTCCTGGAATATGGTAAAACAGCCATCATCTCCGCAAATTAAGCTGTTCCTCCACTCGGGCATCGGTACTCCCTCACATCCCGCGACCTGCTGTTGCTTGGTTCAGCCCGGCTCACGAAGAAGTGGGGGTAAAACATGAACGAAACTGTAAACACGCGCCCGCGCCCGGCCCTCCCGCCGTCGACGCCACTGTAGCACGCACATCCTCCTGCCACGAGTGGTAAACATCCACCTCCCTCCGTAAACACGACTGTACTCCCACTCGGGCATCGGTACGCCCTAACATCCCGTGACCTACTGTTATTTTGGTTCAGCCCGGTTCACGAAGAAGAAGTGGACAGAACCGGGAGAGACAAAAGGCGCCGTAGCTATTCCTACTCCCGACACACAGGTCTGTTTCTGCCGGTCGTTGATGGAGACAAGAAGCGAATTCTTGATGCCCCCGTCTGGGTGCCGAGAATGGAAATGGTTGAGGCAGTCCACCGTTGTCGTTGCCACCAATTGGGAGCAAGATCGGCTCATCTCCTTGTGTTGGCCCCCCCGTCGGAGAGGGTAGCAGCAGGCGTCGCTGTTACCTCCACCCCTGCGGTTGTGTTTGGTTCGAAGTCGGTCACGAAGCATGTCAGGGAGGGTTTGGGAGTGTAAGTGGGTGTATTGCTGTCGGATGGCGGCGCTGAGCGTAGCCTGACAAAATGTGGTGCATCGGATTGTTATTGTGCTTGCATGTGGTATGCACGTCGTTCTCTGACTAGAATCGACAATTACTTCTTTCCTCGAGAAGGAAAGATAAATTGTGTTCACGGTGAAGCGTGCAGAGAATCCCGACAATGTAGGTCTCGTGTGCTCAGGAAACGTACACCTTCCTCCCGCATTGATCCTAACTATGGTTCCTCCCGCTCGTGTGAAACTACCTCAATGTCTGGAGATGTAGATAGGGCATGAATCCCACAGTAAGAGCAGCTGTGAACGAGCAATCAAGACCGACACACAGAAAATGGCTGTCGCCTTGGGTTGAGTTCCAGTCCAGGCAGACGTTTGGGAATAGCAACTGCCGCGATATCCATGTCGGTGGACGGGGGGATCGTCAACAACCCAGAGAAAATCTTTGACGAAGTGCGTTGGAAATCCCAGTCGGGAAAGTCGTCGACGGGTGGGCTGAGATGCATGCCGTTCAATATCTGTATTCTGTGAGGCTGCACGCGTGACAACAGAGGGCCCTTGCCAGCTTCGTTGAGCAAGTGTTTCCGAGGTAAGGGCGGGCGTCAGCTTTCCGCCTCCGAGAAACAGAATAAAATCCGGCGCCCCGCGGCAACCAATCACCCCGCCGGGACTTTTCAGTTGAGACAGCGTACAATCGATATCTATTGAAGCCCCCTAGGCCAGGAAGGTTTGGACAAAAAACAATTCACAGGAGAGAATGAATGCACCTTCCACAAGAACCAATTATTGGTCCTCACCTCTAGACCTGGACTCGGTTGCTCGACGCACCGCCCTGCCGTCTCGTCCGGGAGGCCCTCTCCTCGGCCAAGGCCCCGGGCCTCCGCTGGCCGGCGAAGACCCCTGCGGTCGTCCTCGCCTCGTCCGAGAACCGTAGCAGCGCGTCGGTTTCCGCGCGACGCTGCTCGTTGGCGGCCTTCCTCCACTCCTCTAGGCCGTCCCTCCACTCTTCCAACCTGGACACTCTTCGCGCCAGCGCCTCCGACGCGTTGCTGCTCGCCGCCGACTCGTAGCGCCTTCCCTCCTCGTCTTTCAAGCGTTGCAGCCGCAGCCACTCTCCCCCCGCCTCGATGATGGGCTGCAGCCTCTCCATCCTCACGTCGATCTCGCGCAGGTCTGCCATCGCGGCCCGCCAGTGGCAGCCGTTGGCGCTCTCCCTCTCCGCCTCGCCCCCGACGGTACCCTCAAGCCGCGCGTCGGCCTCCCGGCGGGCCCGCTCGTGCGGCGAAGCGTTTTCGTAGGCGACCTCGCGCTCGAAGTGCGAGTTCTCGGCAGACAGGTGGAATCGCCGAGCTCGGACCTCCTCGTCCACCACCTCTTCCTTGCTCTCCTCGTTGCCCGCCACGGCGAGCGCACGGAGGCGGGCGTTGCCGAGTCCTAGCTCTACTGTCCTCACTTCCGCTCCCGCTACTCGCCCGACCGCCGCGACCTCGATCCCTTGCGATCGGGCTCGAGAACGGGGTGTCTCGTGCGTTATTACCTCGGGAGCCCGGTCAGCGGCGCTCCGGAGTTCTGCGCTCGCCTCCGTGTACCTCGCGATAGAGAGATCTACGCTCGCCACCCTCTCGAGGGCCCTGTTGATGAGGTCGTCGTCATTGTTGCCCTCGTTCGTTGTCTCTGCTCCCGCCGCGGAGAAGCCTGCGCTTGTAGCAAGCGACGCGGCTCTCGATTCGGCCACAGTGGCGTCAGTCAACCCCCTAAGGTCTTGGCTGAGTGCCTCGGCCCCTTCCTGAAGCATCGCGGCGTGCTCGCCTGCTTCTCCTGCCGCCGTCACTGCTGTGGCCCCCCACTGAGGAGCGTGGAGCCTCTCGTTGAGGTCCGCCACACGTTCCTCCGCAGCCGTAGATCGAGCTTCCGCAGCGGAAGCGCGGTCAGCCATCCTCTCAAGGTCCAGGCCGAGGAACTTAATTCGGTCCTGAAGCATTGAGGCGTGCTCGCTTGCTTCTGCTGCCACTGTTGGCTGCCGCTGCAGAACGGCGATCCTCTCGTTGAGGTCCGTCACACGCGCCTCCGCAGCCGTAGATCGAGCTTCCGCAGCGGAAGCGCGGTCAGCCATCCTCTCAAGGTCCAGGCCTAGGAACTTAATTCGGTCCTGAAGCATTGAGGCGTGCTCGCTGGCTTCTCCTGCTGCCACTGTTGCCTGCCGCTGCAGAACGGCGATTCTCTCGTTGAAGTCCGTCACACGCCTTGGCGCTGCGGACGACCGGGTGCGGAGGCGCGTGTGACTGACCTCAACGAAAGGTTCGCCGTTCTGCAGCGGCAGGTCACAAACGCGGAAGGAGATGCAAGTGAGCACGTCTCGATGCTCCAGGAACGAGTGGACTTACTCGGCGAGGAACTTGTAGGAATTACCGACCGCGCTGGCGCTGCGGTCGACCGGTCTGCGGCTGCGGAGGCTTGAGTGACGGACCTCAACGAGAGCATCGCCGTGCTGCAGCGGCAGGCAACAATCACGGCGGGAGCCACAAGTGAGCACGTCTCGATGCTCCAGGAACGAGCGAAGTTACTCGATGAGGACCCTGCAGATTTCACCGACCGCGCTGCCGCAGCCTAGACTGGGCGTCCGCAGCAGAGGCGTGGTCGGTCGTCCCTGCAAGGTGCTCGCCGAGTGCCTCAAATCGGTCCTGGAGCATCGCCCGGTGCTCACTTGCATCTCCCGCTGCAACTGTTGCCTGCCGCATCAGAACCGCGATTCTCTCGTTGAGGTCCGTTACTCAAGCCTCCGCAGCCGTAGACCGGTCGTGCGCAGCGGCAGCGCGGTCGGTAATCCCTACAAGCTCCTCGCCGAGTAACCCCACTCGTTCCTGGAGCATCGAGGCGTGCTCCTTTACGTCTCTTGCCGCGTTTGTTGCCTGCCGCTGCAGAACGGCGATGCTCTTGTTGAGGTCCGTCACTCGAGCCTCCGCAGCCGTAGACCGGTCGTTCGCAGCGGCAGCGCGCGTGACGGACCTCGACCAGAGAATCGCCGTTCTGATGCGGCAGACAATCGCGGCGTGGTGATTTGCTGCTCACGCCGCGATACTTCAGGAGGGAATGGGGGTACTCGGCCAGGACCTTTCAGGGATGGCTCACGGCGCTGCCGCTGCGCATGCCTTATTTACGGCTGCAGAGGCTCTAGTGACGGACCTCAATGAAGGAATCGCCGTTCTGCAGCGGCAGGCAACAATCGCGGAGGGAGACGCAAGTAAGCACGCCTCGATGCTCCAGGAACGAGTGGGGATACTCGGCGAAGACCTTGCAGGGATGGCTGACCGCCCTGTTGCTGCGCACGCCCGGTGTACGGCTGCGGAGGCACGCGTGACAGACCTCAACGAGAGGCTCGCCGATATGCACAAGCAACAAACAACGGCGGCAGGAGCAGCTAGCGAGCACGCCCTGACGTGCAAGAACGAATTAAGGTGCTCGGCGAGGACCTCGAAAAGATGGCTGACCATGCCGCCACTGCGGACGACCGATCTGCGGCTGCGGAGGCGCGTGTGACGGACTTCAACGAGAGAATCGCCGTTCTGTAGCGGCAGGCAACAGTGGCAGCAAAAGATGGCGCAGGAAGAGGCACGAGGCGCCGATGACAGATACAACGCTCTGCACGTGCACATCGCCGACAAGCTCGCTGACCGCGAACAGGCGGAGCGACAACTGTCGGAATCGAACAAAAAGATGGAGGGAGAAGTCCTCAGGCTTACCAAAGAGGTGGGTCATAGGTTTTTTGCGTTAGCGTTATCGACGTTCGCAGGAAAACGACAGGTGTTGNCGCCGGTCGCGTCGTTCTTCCGTACCACCCCCATAGCAACTCCCCCGATGGCGGCCTCGGGTAGAGAGATCGCTTGGCCCGACGGAGAGGACAGGGAAGACGAGGATGACGATGCAAGCGGGGGCGTCGGGGGTGAACGAAAAGGCCCCGCCGGCTCCTCCGTGTCTTGCACGTCGGTCGTGTCGTTCTTCCGTACCATCTCCATTGCCACTACCCGGTTTGATAGTCGCGACGAGGACGGTGAAGACAGCGGGGGGTATCGAGTCGCCCCCGGCATGTCCGTCTCTTGCAAGCCGACCCCGTCCTTTTGGCCTGCCATCGCGACCAAGACCTCTACCTGTCCCAAAGGGGGAGACGGGAACGCCGGAGAAGGCCTGGGTGCTTGAGGCAACCTCACCGGTTTCTTTTGTTGGAAGTCCGTTGCGCCCATGTTGTCCGCCGTGTCGGCCAGAATCGGTGCCTGCTCTGGTTGGGGGGGTGCAGATGACGTGGAAGACTCCGACTGCTCGGTCACTCGCCCGGTAGTGGAGCCCACCACAGAACCGTTTGCCGTCGGGACCGGGCTCACCGAAGGGGACGGTGGCGTCGACGGGCTGGCCTCGGTTGCAGCGTTGGAGGTCACTTCTCCTGGGTTAGATGGTGCCGTGCCTTTTCCAGACACCATTGCTTGGGATCTGAGGAGAATGAGCATCACCCCAACGCGCAGAAAAGAGGCGGAATGTGGACAGAGAGCACGCGTGTTGGCGAATGCATCGCAGTGTTACAGG